AGCCTTTTTATTGTTTTACTGATAATGAAACAAAATAATGTAAACCATTTTATTTTAATACTGTGTTAGTTAATACACCATGAGTCTGAACGAGACAATAAATCAGGCAAAGTGGTAGTATAAACTATACAGTGGATGCATCACCAGTGCCTACAGGCACTATTTCGTGATTTAACGAAATTTAGCATATTTACATTTTCTATTGTGAATTTTAACCGCTTTGTCTGCTTAATTCAGAATACTGAAAGCGTAATTTGTCCTGATAACGCCACAATTTTTCAACGTGATGCTACAATTAACTGTCCTTGCAACTGTGCCGATGGTACCTTCAGGGAAATGTCGGAAGGCGGCTCCTGTCCGGTAGGTTTTGTAGTACCCTATTATAAAAATTGTAATATTAATCCTATTTTTTTGTTTATGTATTATGTGATGTGATGTAATTGTAATGTAGTTGGATTTATATAGCACTTTATACCAAAGTCTCAAAGCGCCTGAGGTGTGGACTAGCTCGTACAGTACCTTGCTTCTCCCCTAAGGGTCTCTTCTTGTCTGAGCTACTTGGTAAACCGGTAACAGCTACTCTGGTTTTTCCACAACATGTGCTGTATGGACCAGTACACCGGGTTAACCCCCTCCTCGTCAGGAAAGATGTACTTGGTTCTTTTAAGTGACAAGAGCCTACGGTTGATATTCTCTATTCGAGAAGACTGGTTCCACCACCAACACCATAAGGCGAGTGTGACCTTCAAGGCATCGCCGATATTTATGGCAGTAGGTGCGGCGTCCCCCTGCCTTAACCACTCGGCCATCAAACTCGCCGTGTTTAGTGTGTATCATGAACAGGATGGCCTCTATGTACTCCACAGTATAAGGCTAACGACTAGCGAAATATTACAACATGTTATTTCAGAAAATTCATTATAAAATACTTATTGTGTAAAGATTATTAAAATGTTTTAATTACCTTCACCTCTCTGAGCCAACTCAAACGGATCGTTTGGCCTTGTAAGGCTACATAGGCCGAGCCGTCTCGAGCGACTACCGCGGCCAGAGTTTGGGTGTAAAACTTTGGCCGGCAGACTGGAAGCGGTCCGGCTGGCGTGCAAACGTCCATGGTGTGCTTGATACTCGAAGAGGCTTGTGGATGCCGGCCTCCCTTGGCTATGCCAAGCCGACTCGATACATAGATACGTCGCAATAGGGCTGGGGATCTCAGATTATATTGTTATGAATGTAATTATGGTTATAATTATCATTAGTCAATGTATCAGACAATTTACTACATCTAAATATAAACAGATAAAAATCTAACAAAATTAGTCAACTTGAAGGATGAGCTATCTAAAGCAAATTTACATATTTTATAGTGTTCGTGTAGATGCGCCGATGGCTCCTATGACGTAAACGCAGACGATGGTACTTGTCCCTGTGAATGCAATTGTCTCGGTTGCATGATATCTACTCTTGGTCCTAATGGGTGTGAATGTCCACGGATACATGACATATGTCCGCCTTGTTTAGTAGGCGAAGTTCAGGTGTTTGATATGTGTATCTGTCACTGCGTACCTGTTGATCAATGTGGAATTTTACCTACTTGTGTTGTTGGACGTCGAGGAGATTATTGTGACCAACTGGATTGTCGTCCATGCCAAGGTATTGAGGCATT